AAGTAAAAAAACACGTCTACTCCTTGGAGAGCAGAGGCTTAGCAGAGCCCTCGATCTCTTGCCACAGCAAGAAGCCTCTTTCAGATTAGGAGCTGTTCCTCTGGGAGATAGTGATGACTGACCAACAAGCAGAAAACATAAGAAAACGAGTGTTAATTATTTTAGGTAGGAAAGACAGAGTATTCGTATGGCCCAGACATAGAGATAGTAAGGTCATATGTTTCTCAGGAGGGGGGCAACTGGAAAAGTGGGGAGAGAAAGGGAGAACTCTAAGAGAGACTATTTACTTGACTTTTTTTTTTTTTTTTAATCTAGAACAGTCTTTATTCCTGCTGGGACCCTTGGACACTTAATTCCTTTACTACTAACATCTCCAGCCCCAGCCTCATGTACATGTATGCATAAGTGTTGCTTATTGGCCATTCTGGAACTATAGTGGACGTGTAATAGATCAGAGCTGCCTGAACTTCAGAAACTCATGCCACAAAAAGACTGTAAGGTCTTAAAATAATTTTGCAGGTATACATTGTGTATGTGTGTGTGTGTGTGTTGTGTGTGTGTGTGTGTGTGTGTGTGTGTGTGTTGGGATTGAATCCAGAAAAAGAGAGAGCCAGAAAATTTATACTATCTGATTTTCTGCAGCAAAATCTATCTTGGTGGTTCCTGTCCTCCTGGGTGTTAAGTGACTGGCTTAAATGGGTAGTTTGCTTTAAATTTTATCCCACTTAAAAAAAAATGTAGCAGTGACGACTCCCCAAGCTTATATTGTTAAGAACTAAGCACCTTCTACCATGTTCCTCAACAGAAATTTGTAGCAACACTCTTCAGGCATTCAGCCCAAGCGGGCACTCTTTGCTAAGGTTTAAGAAAACATGAAAACCACAAAGAATGTTCAAAATTATTTTCTCTAGGTTGGCAGAACAGATGCCTTTCTTTAAGGAAAGTGCTTTAGGCTAACGCAAAGCTATTATTCATAAAAAATATATATTGTTTAGCAATTGTGCAGACTCCAGATTATATAAAATTTATTTTCACTTCAAGGATCCTACTTTCCTAGGAAACATTTATAATTAAAATAGAGCAGGAAGACAGGCAGAGGGTAAAGTGTTAAAAGAAATCCATGATGCCAAGGGCAAGAGCAGTTTAAGAAATAACAATGCAAATCCATTGAAAGGAAACCAAGCAATGTGGACTTGACTTTGTCTGGGGTCCTGGCTGGCTTTACTTGTAAGGGCCTTGTCAAATCCATCTGTAGAATGTGGATGAGGTAAAATGCAGAGATAGAGTATTATTCTAGATCATCTGTAACTTTTCAAATGCAACCTTCATGCTGAAATTCCAGGGAGCATGTAAGGGACTCCAATAAAAAAAACAAAAACAAAAAAACAAAAAACCCTGTCAGTCAGTCAAAAGTGTTTATTTATTATCCACCCTGGGCCAGGCACTGTTCTAGCCAATACGAAATGATACAAAATAAAGAGTAGAGATCATCCTTATAATCTTGTGAGAGCAAATTGATTTAATCTGCAGTCTCTCTCCCTCCCCCTCTCTCTCTCTCACTCTCAGTGGCCAAGAAACTCAAGTATGGGCATTCAACAGACTCATTTAGAAAATCCTGATTAAAAAAAATAAACTTGCCGAAACCGGTTTGGCTCAGTGTAGAGCATTGGTCTGCGGACTGAAAGGTCCCAGGTTCGATTCCGGTCAAGGGCATTGGTTGCGGGCACATCCCTGGTAGGGGGTGTGCAAGAGGCAGTTGGTTGATGTTTCTCTCTCATCGATGTTTCTAGCTCTCTATCCCTCTCTCCTCCTCTCTGTAAAAAATCAATAAAATATATTTAAAAAAATAAACAACAAAATTAGAAAATCTGGGAAGTAAATAGTTATATTATAAATAGATTCATGCATTACATGAAGATAATTGGGCCAAAAATGCACTGAATATACACCAGTGGTTCCATCCGACTATAATGGAGCTAAAATATTCCCATCCCCTATTGACATGGTTGCTATTGTAACATCACAGCATGTTTGAGGTGATGTTGGAGTAAACAAACTTTCTGCACTGCCAGTAGTATAAAACTATAGCACATACAATAATGTTCAGTATGTAATACTTGATGTTGATAATAAATAATCATGTTACTGGTTTATGTATTTAGCATACTACACTTTTAATCAGTCTTTTTGAGTGGACTGTTTTTACTTACAAAAACCAAGTTTGCTGTAACATAGTATGCTGTGCTATGAGGGCAGCAGCCTCAGAAGTCTCCTGTTTTACTGCATCTCTTGATTGCATCATTTCTCCTTGTGTTCGGCTTAATCTTGGTTTTTACAGTATCATGCCATGCAGTCTTGTGGGCTCTACCAATAGGTTTTACCACATAGCCTAGGTGTGCAGTAGGTCTACTGTCTAGGTGTGTCTCTGTGCACTCCATGATGTTCACACATTGACAAAGTCACCTGGTGACTCATTTCTCAGAATGTATCCCGGTTGTTAAGCTGCACAAGACTGTAGATGAAAATGCATTCATGAGGCATGTCTTTTATAGAACAAGTCCAATGATGCTGTTAAAATCGGAAGCATTTCCGCTCTTGCTCACAAATCTACAAAAACGTTTTTGGAACATATTTCTTGGGCAAATATGGATTCACAATTCATGTAGAGGAGCTGCAAAGGTGAATAAAATAGCTGTGTCCTCTACACTGAAGTTCTTCAAAGCCAGAGACTGGGCCTTATTTATTTGCCTTGATATCCTGTGCTCTGTCAAGATAGAAGTGGCAAAAATAAATAAATAAATAAATAAATAAATAAATAAATAAATAAATAAATAAATAAATAAATAAAATAATATAAATCCGAGTGAGTGAATGCAATAGTTGCATAAAGGTTTCACACAGAATTTTAAGAAGAGAACAAGAGAAGAGGTTGAGGCTGTTACAAGCAGAGAGGTCAGGTTGGTTGGTCTCAGTGGGTGGCCACATAGAGGAAACAGATTTGGCATTTTCAGCAAGACCCAAGAGTAGGTCCTTGGCCAAGCATCCCTGGATCCTTTTTCAGGGTGGCTTTCCTCAATACTGAGTAGATAACCTTGCAAGGTCAGGTAGGGCAACTCCTTAATTAAAAACGAGTCATTGAAGACTCCACGCCTACTGTATATCAGCATATACCTTAAGGCTACAGGCTTCCTTCTGCTCCCTTCTGGAGCTTGGTTCCTGGTAGAATTGTTTGCTTTGACTTAAATAGAGATTGGGTGATGTATCTGATTTGCTCGATGTCAATTTAATGCAGCCCAACTAGAATGCAAGCTTTAGAGGACAGAGACTTCTGTTTTCACTACCACAGCCCCTGCTCCTAGAGAGTGATACAGTAGGCATTCACTAAACACAGTACCTGGTAAATGGATGAAGGCTGTTGTTATTTTGGCTGTCTGTCTTTACTTCTTGCTTTATCCACCTTACTTCGGAGGGCTGGACACTAGAGGGAAATCTTTGAATTCCAATGACCCTTCTTCCTTTGGCCCAGAAACTCTGGCCAAGCCTTTTGGGAACGGGGATCCCCTTGGAATTTAATGACGAATCCTGGCCACAGGGGGCGGGGGCGGGGAGAGCGCGCTGCAGAAAAGTTCTTCCTCACTTCTGCTTGCTTTTGCGGCACCCTTCGCCACCCATCTGGCTCTTTACTTGGGGTCCAGGGCGCCCCGTGGAAAGGAAGCCAGGAGAGACTGCCTGCATTCCTTTCCCCGGCCCTTCGGGTCCTGTCTGGGGGAGCCCGCAGGATCCCCCCCCCCCCCCACCCCCCTAGCTATTGCCAGCACCTGTTGGACAGCCACTTGGCGGCCCCAGCCAGGACGAGAGGACGCGACCCGGGGGTGCCCCTCCGGCAGCGGCGACCCCCGTCCTCCCTCCGGGGCGGCCCGCCGGGGAGCGGCTCAGCCTCCCCGCGCCGGCGGCGCGCTCCGCCCGCCCGGGCTTGGCCCACGGCCCCCTCCTCCCGTCCCCGCCGGCAGGGGGAAGGTAGAGAAGGGGAGGGGACAAGCTGGAGCCTCGGCCCGCCCGGCCTTCTCCTCTCTCTCTCTACACCCCGCGCAGAGACGCCGCTCCGAGCCCCGAGGTTTGCAGGGAGCCAGCCCCGCGGAGCGCGGGGGAAGCGCGCCAGGACCGCCCGGAGCCCCGCGGTGACCCCGAGCCGCCGACTCTCCTCCTCGGGCTTTGGAGGCGCGGGGGACGCAGCACCCCAAACAAGGTGAACTTTGATCGCGGACAAAACTTCCAGCCAGGTGCCGGGATCCGTGCTGCGGCGGCCGGGACCCGGGACCTGGGCCTCCCCTGCGCCCGTCCCCAGGGCGGCCTCGGCCCCCGGCACCCCGCCCGCCTGCGGCTGCTCGGCCCCGGGGACCCGCCGCGGCGCCCTCGCCTACTTTCTTCCCCCTCCCCCTCCGGGGGTGGGGGCGGGGCGGGGGAGAGGGGCACCCGGAGAGCCGCATCCATTGGCAGCTTTTGTGATCGATCCGGAGGTGCTCGCCGCCCACCTTGGCTTTTCCAGGCCGGCCCCGCGCGACCCCTCGGAGCGCCCGCCGCCGCCGGGTCCCCCCGCGCTGACAGGTGCTCCCAGCCACTCGCTGGTGACTTCTCGGCGCTGCTCCCCCGGCTCCCCCGCGTCCCCACCTCCCCCCTCTTCTCCTCCCTCGCCTTCGCCCCCACCCCCACCACTTCGGCACAGCTCAGGATTTGTTTAAACCTTGGGAAACTGGTTCAGGTCCAGGTTTTGCTTTGATCCTTTTGAAAAAAAAAAAAAGAACTGGAGACACAGAAGAGGGCTCTAGGAAAAAGTTTTGGATGGGATTATGTGGAAACTACCCTGCGATTCTCTGCTGCCAGAGCAGGCTCGGAGCGTGCACCCCGGCGCAGCCTTCCCCTGGCGGCGGTGAGACAGACTCTGGAGTCGCTGCTGCTTCCCAAGTGCCCGCCGGGAGTGAGCTCTCGCCCCAGTCAGCCCAATGCTCCTCTTCGGGCTTCTCCTGCTGACATCCGCCCTGGCCGGCCAGCCCGGGGCGCAGGCGGAGTCCAACCTGAGTAGCAAACTCCAGTTGTCCAGCACCAAGGAGCAGAACGGTGAGTCTCGCCCCCCACCACCCCACGCCGCTCCCCCTCCCCGCGCCTCGCTGTGTGTGTGTGTGTGTGTGTGTGTGTGTGTGTGTGTGTGTGTGTGTGTTAGGTTGGCACCGCGCGTCCGGGTGTGTGTGCACAGCGGACTCGGGGGTGCCTGCGGGCTGCACCCCTGGGGCAGATGCGCGCCGCGCCCCGAGGGCATGGGTTTTGAGAGGGGACCTGCTGTTTGCAACTTCGGGAGCTGCCACCAGGCTTTCACAGGACAACTGAGAGAGAGAAGGACCTTCTGCGAGCGAACTTGAACGTCAGTTCACACACACATGGCAGGACCTCTCGTTGCCAGTTATAAGTTCAAGAACTGCCTCTAAAAACGAATGTACAATGAATGAGTCTTGGCATGTTTGACTTTATTCGGATTTTTTCTTTCTTTCTTTCTTTTTAAATCCGGGAGGGGCTGTTTCAGGAAAGGTATCAGCTGCATTAATGGAAGCACTTTTAAGTGGGAAGGCATCGATTAATCAGTAGGTAGACAGGAACCACAGAGGTCAAGAGGCCGAGTGGACACTTTTAGGGCGAATTGGGAAAAAGTGCATTTCTCTGGTGCTCTATTTTTTTTTTTTTTTAAATAATGTGCCTTTGTGTATACGTTTTCTAGCGGTGTGTATTTATGTATGTGTTGGTGAATGACTGCTATTTTGTGTGTGCGGGAAACGACTTAATCCTGCATAGGAAATGAGAATTACTTTCAGCTTTCAAGTGTACCTGAAATGTTTAGAAAACTCTCAGATGCAAGTTCCCTTGGGCTGGGATTGCACAGAGCCGGAGAAAGGCTCCTTTCATAACGCCAAGGGCAGCTTCAGGGTGTGTAATTTGCTTAGCCTCTGAACCCCATATGATTTACATCATTCAATTTCTAAACTCTTTCTCTCTTGATCTGCCATTATGAAGTCATTTTTGAGAACACTTTGTAAATAGAAATCCTATACTGCACACGAAACCGCAATGTTAATGTAGGCTGTCTAAAATTAGAATATTAAACACCCTTGTTTACAAGCGGTGGCTCTTCATGCTGTTTGAAAAAGAAACGTACATGTGTTGAAGGCTTTGTCTGTCATTCATTCCGAATGCAAGGAGGCTGTCATTTCCTGAGCCAGGCGAAATGAACACAAACAGCCTACCTAGAAAACCAGAGTGGTGTGTACTGTATGTTTAAGTCACAGCAACTTTTTCTTTCTGTGTTGGGGCATTTCCAAGTTTCAAGTCTGCGTTTAAACTCTCTGAAGTGTTTATCTTTGAGAAGTCACAGGAAGTCCCAGAGCACACAGGTAAATTCAATGAGGATTCCTGGGACCTTGTGCACACATGACTGGTGTTTGTTGCACGTGCGGCAGTCTGTGGTGTCACATTTGTCAGATGTTGTTCATGGGGTCGCTTCTTACAACTTGCTCGTGTGATGGCACATGGCACCTGCAGGCTGCTGGCGTTGCTGATCAAAGGGCAGCCAAGGGATCTATCTCTAATCACAGGAGCTGCAGAGGACTGGGAGAAAGTGATCAAAGGAGCCCCCCCCGCACCAGCTGTACCCTGGCAGGAAACAGATCAGACCAACCTTTGTTCTTTCTCGTGTAAAAATGAATGTCCAGTCCAACGTGCTGCTTCTTACCAGGCAGGCGTCTCCAGGATGACAATGCCCAACATTCCTGTCTTCTGACTTCTGTTTTTTATTGTTCCTTTCCCATATCATTTCTCCTACGGGGCCGGACTTATCAAGCCTGGCTGGCATCTGGCATCTTCCTGATTGCCTTGGCGACTTGTACCTGGTATTGTTCTTTCCCTTTCCATGGCATCACTTCTTGTGCTCCGCATTCCACGGACACTTTGTAATAGGCCCCGGAGTTCTCAAGGGGTCATTGGCCACTTTATGGAGCAGGTTCACACCCTTGGGAGAGGTGAGCTCATTAAGCCAGGCCACACACATTCTGTTGCCATCGGAGGCTGGGCCATTGCCATTCCTAAGATGCATGGCGCTAAAAATAGCCTGGCTGTTTCCTAATCTGTGGGCACAGGATTGGGCTATGTTTAGCTCTTAGGAGGCTGGCAGCAGGAAGTAACTAGAAGTAGAGGAACTACTCACCTTGTAGTTTTCAGCCTGAAGAGAAGTGGGACAGCCAAGCACTAGGGGGCAATGTAGAGCTATTTTCCTGCACATGCTCAGGTTGACTTGTATCCCTCAAGGTTCCAAGATTTGAAGATAACAGGTTGGTGCTAAAGAAGATCCCCCTTGGAATGTGGACACATTTGCTAGAACCTCTCTGTGTGTTTGTGTGTGTGGCTTTCAAATGTTTCATTCCCTCGTGTGTGTAACTTCCACCCCCCTCAGATTGTATTATGATTGATTTTTTTAATTGAAGTATTATTGCTCTTCTCAATGCAGATTATTGTCTAAATCTAAATACACACCATCTGAGGGTGTCACATAGAAAAATGATTTTAGCCCTGTCTGTGCATGGCACCGTTTTGTGAAAGGTCTTCTAATGCTAACCAGGGAATGTCCCTATTGACCTGTTGTGATTGTAGTTCATTTCTGCTTTCAAGGACTCTGCCCCAATGATATTCTCTTCTCTGGAGCATTCCAAAGTCTTAAATGGTGTTGACTCAATCAAATCCCCAGGCCTGCTCTGTTTCAATATTAACTTGGTATCTCAAGAGGTGTTATACAATATAAACGAACACAGAAAACGGAAACTCATAGATACAGGGAACAGACTGATGGTTGTCAGAAGGGAGGAAGGCCTGGAACACCGGGTGACAAAGGTGAAGAGGCTGTGAAGTACAGGCTGGTCGTTACAAGATAGTCATGGGGATGTAAAGTACAACATAGGAAATGTAATCAGTAATATTGTAATAACTATGCATGGTGCCAGGTGGGTACTGGGAACATCAGGAGGAACACTGTGTGAAGTTTATGATTGTCTAGCCACTGCGCTGTACACCTGGAACTAATTATTAAAAAAGGAGAACAAAATATGTCTTATAAATGTAAATTGATTGCTATAGCCAGTGTCAGATATTTGTAATTAGGCGGGAACATGTGGGGAGCTTCCACATTTAAGGGATCAGTGTTCTTTACTGTTATTATTTTCCTGGTTTTAATGTAATACTGTATTGCCCTTCCTGCCATATTATAAGTTGTCTTTGTGTCATTCATTCTTAACCTGACTTCCAGTCCTGAAGTCTCACATATAAACCAACGGTCTCCAGATTTAGCTTAAAGAAGGAGAGAAAAGATAAAAACACTGACTTCTATAGGGTTTCTAGTCTATACCTTCTGTATGACCATGAGAAAAATTACTACTCTCTGTGTGCACTTATTTTAGAGGAGAATGCCTAAATGGAATGAGTAAGTCCTGGGATGGCATTCGGAGTGGTAGCTGAAAGACAGAATCATATACATCAGAAACCAAAAATAAAACAAGGCTTACTTTATCCATTGCGTATAGTCCAAATGGACTCCATCACAAAGTTCCTGATGGAGTGAGGCCTCATCTACCTTGTTCTATTGGTGGGTGATGTTAATTCCATTGACCTGAAACATGCTTCTTAGTGCTCTTTTTCTATGGCCATTTGGAGTGAAGATACGGCATATCCCTGTGTTAGTTAGGGTTGTCCTTATCCACCTTACTTATGGTGTGCGCTCTTTTCCTGGAGGCCTTTGTGGCCTGCCTACAGGCCATTTACTTCAATGACAAATGTTCCCCTGGGAATGCATCCTAATGCCTTTCTGAGAACGTGTATGTTGTGTTTATGGCTTTTCTCTCTCTTTCTCTCTCTCTGTCTCTCTTTTTTTTCTATGCCAGCTCTCTCCTTCTCCTGCTGCCTATGTCTCTGTATATAACAAAATTGTGCCTAATCCTTCCGGCCCCGCCTTTTTTTTTTTAAGGTGGCAGCTCCAAAGCTCTATTTTACTGAAAAACAGATGATCATGATTTTTAGAATAGCATCTAAGAGCAAATAGGCTCTGACGAAGGCCTAAAGGGACTTTCCTACTTGTTTGTCTATAAGTTGCAATGTGTGACCTTTGTGACATTTATCTTGGTTGTTAGAGGTTTTTATTTTCGTTTTTCAAAAAAAAAAAAAAAAAAAAGCAACTTCCTCCTGGTTCTCTGTTTGGTTTGAGATAGTTGAGGAAGTTGAAGAAATGAAGTGGCATTATGTAATGATGAACATTTCTTTTCACAACAGGTGACAAAAAAGTCCCGTTCCATTTTATGGCAACTTTTCTCACCTAGCAACCGTTACCTTTTACATTGAACTTGATATACTGTGTATTTACCTCTAAAAGGTAACCAGAAAGTACCAGGGTCTGGAAGAAGCTTCAGGGACTAGACCATGCCTTGTTAATTAGTTGTACAGACTCTCGGGTTCCACACTAAACTTTTCCCAAAGGGGCTATTTTGTCGAGCTCTGTCTCAAGCACCCAAGTCTTAGCTTTGTCTGTTCTTATGTCATCCTTCATGAAACTTATTTCTTACACATTTTCTTTATCTTCTCTTCCACTTCATGTTTTTTTTTCCCTTTGTACTGCTCAAATTGTGTTTTATCTACAAACATGCACAGTTTTTGTAGAAAAAGAATTCTAATGATAGTGTGCTATTGTGCTAAAATTTTTTTTTAATTGAACCAATTTATATATATAAAAGCCTAATATGCTAATTGTCCCTCTGACTGTTCAACCAGTCGTTATGATGTGCACTGACCACTAGGGGGCAGATGCTCCAACTGGGAGGTTAGCTTGCTGCTGGGATCCTGCTGATCTGCACTGAGTGAGATGGGCTGGACATGCCCTCGAGTCCTGCTACAGTCCCTCCCCAGCCCTGATTGTGCCCTGTAGGGTCCCTCAGCCTGGCCTGTGCCCTCTCCTAATCTGGACCCCTCTGGGGATGTTGGAGAGCTGGTTTTGGCCTAGTCCCCGCAGGCCAGGCCAAGAGACCTCACCTGTGTAT